CACACACACACACACACACACACACACACACACACACACACACACACTCTCACACATTCACTGTATGGCTTATGTATATCCATAGAGGTTAGGTGGCTCAGCTGTTGAGTTAGCAAGCTTGGGTCTGAGATCTCACCCTACTACTTGTTACGGAGTTATCACCTAACTCCGGGAATCAGTTTCCTTCTCTGAAGTCCTTGCCTTCCAGCTTGATCACCAGTCAAAAAATTCCTTTATTTTTGAAGTTCTGGATTATTTTAAAGTTCTTCCTTGAGAAAATTATTCCTGTTTTCTGATTCTTTAATACTTTTAATTATCATTGCTTCATCATGTGTTTGTGAAGATTAATTGTGTTAATATCTGAAATGCACTTAGTACAGTGTCTGGCATATGATAAGTGCTATGTAAAACCCTTGTTTTGTTATTGTTCTATCCTTTTTGTACAGGATCATTTTATATCAATGAGGAACATTTAAAAGCATTGTTGAAGATTTTCTTTATCAGAGCAGTTGGCATGTTTCTCTAATTTCTTTCTCTCTCTAATTTTGGAGACACTGCTATCTATGAGAAATAGATACAAATATAAAATATAATCTGTTCAGGAAAGGATGTACTTAAGTAGTCTGAAGTAAGAACAGGAGCTTATATTATCATCTAGAAAGTTTTTTAGACTCTAGTTCAAACTCTTATTCATTCAACAGTTCATACCTGTCCCTGGACATTGGGGACACAAAAGAGTCCTTGTCTCAATATCTGGTAAGATTGAATTAGTCTAATAATTAAATTAGGGGAGGAAATGTGGCCAATTAAATCCCACCACCACCACTACCTCCCCCCAAAAAGTGATTCCAAGTAGAATATTGCTTGTATGAAGTGATATTGGTGAATTTTATGGATAAATTGTTAGTTTGGAAAACCACTTGGCTGTAAGTCATAAAAGAATGATTCATTTGTTTTTCTTTTGAATGTGAGCAGGCCTCAGAACCACGCAGAGGGCTTGTCACAACTCAGATTCCTGAGACCTGCCCCCAGCCAGTAGGTCTGGGCGGAGCCTGAAAACGCACGTTTGTCAGGAGCTCCCAGGTGATGCAGGGGCTGCTGACTGGGGACCCACCCTGTGAGCACCACTGGGCTAGGGAGGGAGTGAAAGATGAAGAGATGGCTGGAGCACTGTGGGCTGGGGGCCAATAGTGGGAAGTGAGGCTGGAGGAGGGGGCAGGGGCCCTAGGATCTCAGCCTCAATGGCAAGTGCAAGTTTAGTCTCAGGTCAATGAGGAGTCATTGCAGGTTCTTCCAGCCCTCCCTCACTGCAACCGCTCTTGTTCTGAGGTGATTACGACATAGTCTTTGTAGTCTTTGAGGATTATCTGATTCTGCATGGCACTCGCCCCCTAATGCATGTGCAGCAAATTCCGTGGAATTTGAAAATACCCTGTAATTCCCTCTGTTTTAGAGTCCTGACCAACCTTTGATGAATCGGACAAATCGCTTACTTTGCGCAGCACAGATAGTCACCCATGCTTAGGTTTTGACAGTAGGAGACACAGGCACACCAAGGGGCTGCATTTGAGATCAGCTCAACATTGACTGAAACACATTCTCTGTATCTGGCACTTTACACTTAACCCAGCAAGGATATAATCAAAGCACATTATGATTTCTAGCAGTAGGCAACATTCAATCTTTTGGGGACAAATACTAAAAAAACATATGAAACTAGAGGATTATATAAGCAGAAGACAGCACAGTGTGTAATAAAGTGTTAAATTGAGTATTATCATATGGTAAATGTTAATGATGCAGATAATAAGGGCCATGGCCACTAAGAAGTTGGAGAATTGTTCGAAGTTACTAGGGAATGTTTTATATCGGGGAGGCCTTTGAGCCGGTCCTTGGAAAATGGTGAAAATTTGGCTAGAGGGGAAGGGAAAAGATGGAAAAGCCTTTGTCTTCAGATTCAATCAACATTCAAGGAATTACTGTGTTTTCCCAAAGTTTTTGCTGTTCTACTGCCTTTCAAAGGAAAGCCTTCCATGTGTTTCTGATTCTTGAGTACAGTTGAATTACTAGTCCATTGTCTGGTAAGAGCTGTTTGGTCAGGGAGCCCTGTGGACTTCTCAGAAACTTTTTTCCTTTGAGAGAAGCTGTCCTGATTTGCCATTGTTAATGAAACTTGTACTACACAATGCTCAAGTTCAAGACCTACTGAGAACATGACCATGAACCTCATTTCATCTCCACATGGGGGAACCACATGGCATATAGAAGCTGCGGAGACCCAGCACCATTGCTGCTCCCCCGGTGGTAGTAATTGTCTCGAACTTTCTTATGTCACATCCTAATAGCTTTGTATTAGGAGTCACGGTCTGTATTGCTTCTATTCCTCATGAATAAATACAAAATGTCTCGCCACCCACAACACAAACCCTTTGTAGTCATGTATCTCTTTTGAACATGCATCCTTAGGACTCTGCATGCATTCATTTCAATATTCTGTGCCTATATGAGGCTTTTCTTTGGAAACGGTGAAATACGCACTTATTGCAATGGATATATTTTTACCCTGTCAAGTGCTCTTTTGCATCAGATCCTGAGTAATATATCTGATGAGTCAAAGGGCTTGCCTCGTTTGCTGATTCTCTTGGGAGTTATCCTGAATATCAAGATAGTTCCTGTTAGCTCAGATAATTTCAAAGGTCCAGGTTTATCTTTAATAAAGATAAGGTTTAAGGCAGAAAATAGAAATGAAAAATAGAGAATAGTTAAAGAGAGAACTCAGGCCGACCTATGAGAGATTTTAATGACAATCTGTAAGGTAGAGATCACAAAACTTTATCAATTGCTTACTCATCTCCAGAAAAGTTTTTGAGAATGCCCCCCAAATAAATGTAATTATTTATATATCAGATACATGTACCGTTGTGCTTATATATTAGTTATTTATGAAAGACACACAAAAATAGAAATAATAAAGAAAAAAATTTAAATGAATGTAATTTCTAATATTTTCTTCCTATCCCTCAAATAATCCTTGTTTGCATCCTCTGGCATATGGACGCTGCTTTTGAATATACCCTTCTGTAAACCGATAGCACCAGCACATGGTGCAATATACTGGTTCTCAAACTTGCATCTCAGTTTCCTGGAAACTTGTGAAAACACACATTTATACCTCTTTCTGAAGTTTCTAATTCAGTAGGTCTGGGGCCCCATCATTTGCATTTCTGACAACTTCCAGGTGATGTTGGTCTGAGAACTAACACTTTAAGAACCACTGATGTAGTTAAGAGCTTGGGTCTCAGAGGTAGTTTACCTAAGTTGGATATCAGAGTCCTTCCATTACCAAATGTGTGACCTTGGGTAAATTATTTTACTAGTATGAACTTACTTTTTTTTCTTTTTCTTTTAATCTGTTAAATGGGTGATCATAGTTATTTACCTCTTAGTGTCACTGGAGAGCATAATGAGATAATGTAGACAAAGTGCTTAGTACCCAGTACTTACCACCTACAAAACACCAAGACATATTGGCTGCTATATGCTTCTCTTCCTCCTCTTCATATCATCAAACATCTTTTTAATGTCATAAAGTAAACTTTAGGGACTTTTATACCTTAAGTCATAAGAATCATGGGAATAAATTCTTCTGCTTTACCATTATACATTTAGAAAGACCATATTCCAAATGAAGTGTCTTTCTAGTTGGATAGTAGAGGTGAAGCTCTTTTGCAAAGTCTGCCTTAGAGAGAACAATGTGTTCAGCCCTCTCCCTTCTGTGTGTAACTATTGATAGTTTGTGGCTAAGTGTGTATTTCTGTAATCTTTTGTATATACTGATTCTTGTTGCATGATCTAGAATTGACATTTTTGGCAGTTGTGTTTTTGAATGTTTTGGGGGATGGGAGTAGCAAAGTTGAGTGCTTGCTTTGAACTTGATTGATTGTTAACACTTCTCTCCTTTTTTCTTCTCTCCCCCTCTTCCTATAAATTACTAGGACCAAGTACTACCTGCCAGGAAGATTCATGTGCCAACCAGGGGGTCTGCATGCAGCAGTGGGAAGGCTTCACTTGTGACTGCTCCATGACGTCATATTCTGGAAACCAGTGCAATGATCGTGAGTACAACCTTTTCCATACTTGGGAGTTTTATCAGTGTTTAGAGGTTTGGAGAAACCTTAAGGGGCATTATAAAAGGATGGCTCTTCTGAAAGACTTGTAAGCAATTTCCTCCTCCAGAAACTTGGAAAATAAGGGACTGGTGCTTTTAATGGAAGAGCAAAGAGACATTTCTTGCTCAACATTACTAGATGTTTTCCCATTTGCTTCCTCCCTATGTTTTTTCTTTAGATTAGATTGCCTGTGGCTGAGAATCAAAAACAAAACAAAACAAAACAAAAAAACCCAGTTCAAGCAATATTTTTGTTCTAAGGAGTTCAGTTTTCCCTTAGTTAAGTCATCTGGGTAACAACTTTGAGACTCTCCCATTTGCATTGTCTAGAATTTAGAGGTTATTTAAGGAATGTAACTATTTTCTCAAAATTCTGAGTTTAGAGAACTTCTTAGATCTTCCAAACGATGAAGGCATTCAGAGTTTATTATTTTTTCCAACTAGAAATGTTTAAAGCATTCTCAGGGGTTTTTCAAATGTTGGGAATTCCCTCTGGCTAAGTTTATTGATATCTATTTGGTTTGTATGTACATGGTCGTTCTGTTTATATATGCATTTCTATTTTGTACGTATATTTGTATGTATATATCTGCATATTTGGTTCATATTGGAAGAGAGCCAGTTGTTATCTTTGTCCACCAGCAATACTTCTATCAGCCAATTTAATTCTAGAAGACTGGTTTCAGGGAGGTGATTCTAGAGATGATGGTGGAGATACTTCAGTTCTGTTGAAAACTACAACCCGTGTCTCCCCTTCTTCTCGTGTTACTTTCCTAACATGGCTATTTTTAAAGATGAGCCAACACCTGAATTTTCTGAATACCTCTATTACAAAGAGATTTGTTGAAAGCCCTGACGTAGTGGATCCTGCTGATCTTCTGATTTTCTAAATGGTAGGAGTTTATTTTACAATCTGAACTCGTAGTTAGTTGGTCTCTTGGTTTTATAAAAAGATGCATAGTGTTTATCTGAGCAGATACTAAAGTCACATTGTGGTTGCCTAAGTGGGAGCAGGCACTGATTACAATGCTGTCTCTATCGTGTTTTCTTGGTTTTTCTTGAATTCTTATCCTTATTTCTCAACTTTTTTTTTCATGTGCATAGTTGCCCCTTATTCTTTTTCTCATTTTTCTCCTAGCTTTTTGTCTCTGTGTGCTCTATGTGTCTCTTAAGATCTATCTGGAGAAACAAGTGGGGACTCTATCAGTGTAGAGAGAAACATCTTTGATTCTCATTGATCTAATGTAAGCAGTGCCTCTAGGTCTGTAACATAAAGGACACAGTATCTGCAGAAAGTTTTGGCATCAGGTTGTTCTTTCCAAGTACTTGGTATTATTGAAAGTCTTGTTTCCACATTTATGAGTTGTAAATACTGTTTCACTCTGAAATAGGCAGCTATGGACCCATCCAGAATATCTGGGCAATTGTGCTATGTGCTCTCTATTTTCCCTCCACTTTGTCTGCATAGGACTCATTAGGAAAGCTTTTTATCTTAAATGGTGGCATAATGCTTCTTTATCCTCTGTATCATAAATACCTACCCCTCCTGGTAGAAAATGGTCAGGACGAGACTGCACACAGAAAACGCAGAAAGGTAAGTTACTCTAACTACGGTGAATAGCACGGTCTTCAGAAGGTATGTATACATTTTTCTCTCATTGACAAGTTCCTTTCGGCCACCCAGTCCTAGGCATCGTTTTCTGCTAAAAATCAACCAGGATTCTTTCTGGCTTTCTATGATTTTTTTCTAACTTGTCAAGAGCAGATGGTGTCTCAGTCCAGAATGAAGACTGTTGCATTATCTGACTCGAACAATTTGTCAATATATAATGAAGTACTAGAATGGATTGGGAAATGTCAACTTTCTTTTGTGACAGTACCATGTCATCCTTCAAAGATGTTTCTGAGATATCCAGGCCTAGGTAATGCATTCTGGTTTTATTCTGTAAACAATGCAGATGAGGGTTTTATGGCAGAAGACCTCTGAGGCCAAGTTATTAAAAGAGTCTACTTGCCTCAACTCCTGTTGGAAAGCAGACCAGGCTTGTGTGATTAGACGGCTATATGGAAATGTGAGCAAATACATTTTAATTGCAGAATGTATGGAATATATAGAGTTCAGATAGATATAACTGTCATATGCAGATATATGCTTTTAATGAAACCAACTGCGTATATCAGAATGTTAGGTTGCTTAAAATTGTACACTAGATGCCTCTGAATCCAATGATCAACATTGAAAGTATTGAGGGAACTTTTGGAATTAGCATCAGTGCCAGTTTGTTCCACCTAAAAAATCAGCCTTACATCTACATCATAGATCATAAATGTCTGTATCAACCTTGACCTTTAGAGTTGTAATTTGGTACTTTATCTCACAAACATCTTCAAAATTAAGTTACCTATTTTATTTTCTCTGGGCATATGTTAGCAAATTCTTGGTAGCCTAGCTGGCATCAGGAGATGAGCCTTCACCTTCAGTGTCACCAGCAGATTCAGACAAAGCTCGTGCTTATCGTTGGCAAAGGTCATGGGGAAAATTGCAAAGAAAGGGGAACAGATACAATAAGTGAATGGAAGAGGAAAGGTGATGAAGAAGAAATAATGGAGAGAAAACCAGGGCTGAGTCTTATACGGAAGAACACAGAGGCCATTAGTAATTGCTTTGGTAGCATGCCTTCCACAGGTGGCCTGCCTTTGACATGGTAATTGGCATGTCAAGGAAATCCGGCCTTTACCTGATTTTTAGGAATACTGTATTCTAAAGAATGTTGCATATATCTAAAATACATTGTATTTCTTACAATGCTCTCATAGGAACCTATGGTTGGTGGAGGATTCTATCTAATGGCAACAGATGTTCTGTTGGGGGGCTGGAGGGGAAGGTTTGGATCTCTCATTTTCCATGAGCTATTTCTCAGGACAGCAGATCATCTCAGTTAATGGAAATGAAAAAAAAAATCACAATTTCTTACTGCACATCCAAGAATAGAAACTCGTTTAATAGGAAAGTGCTAGGTTTTGATATTTTTCAAAATAAAGGTTTCAGTTCAGTTCATCATGTATAGAAAAGTTACTTATATCTGGGCATGATTTGCAAGTTTCTAAAGAAATGTTTGCATTTTAGGGGTCTCCACATTTTTCCTAGCATTAGTTCCTTCATTCATGACCTTTGATTTTTCTTGCCTGTTTGCCCAATTGGGTGTTTGCTTGATGATTTTGAGGTGCTGTCACATAGATAACCATGAGTAGAGTTTATGTTTAGAAACTATATCTCATTTAGTATGAGTAGACCAAGCACGGATGGGTTTAACTTTATTCCATCATTTTCTATGAGTGCATGGTGGATTGATGGAGGCAGTGGGGTGAATTTCAGGTTTAGTCTTAAAAAGATAGCCATGCAAAGCTGATACAGTGATTGTGAAGGTGTGGCATGTATTCTCTGTGGCTGGTTATCTTGTGTAGGAATGACTCTCTTGTATTAGAGAAAAAACAAAAGTGATTTGATTGGAAGCCCAGGTATAATTGATTTACTAATTATCTTATGTAGTTTTAAGATAAGATCTTCTACCATTTCATATAATAGCAGATTCACAGGGAGTTTCCTTTAGGTGACTTTTAGGGCTGTTTTGAAACTCTAATAAACAGAGTCATCCCAGAAGTAATTTTGAGTTCATGTAGGATCCAGTAAGATCTATGGAAGGACACACCAGTAACATTCTCCAAAGAAAATCTTCAGTTCTTCTGAAAAATTCTAAACAGAGAGGGCTGACTTCTCAGATGGTGCATACTGCCTGAGTGCCAACTTAATGATGGCGCTACATTTTAAGAAGAACAAAAGAAAGGGAACCTTACAAAGTTTCTTATAGGGATATTCTTTTTGGATATTGGGTTCCTACTGGTATTTAAAATCAGGACCGAGAGCCTGAGAGATTTCAATATGTTGTAGGCATCACGCCATCAGGCAAATCCAGAATCCCTTTCCTGTGATGTGGGGAGGGCGGCCTATTGTTGAGTTCCTCTCTCCACAACACCATACAGTGTTGCACAAAATCCAACTCACTTGCACGTACCCACACATACACAAAAGCATTGTCATTTCTGGGGACTTTGTGAAAATAGCGATTTTAAATACCTTACATCAATCCTTAACCACCATAGTTACCTTTGAGTGTGTTTATGACAACTGTTTTGAGTTGTGTACAATTTTGGGGGTCTCATTATTGCTCCTGTGCCATAAAGAATTGAATGTGGAACAGTGAGTGGCGCGTGAGTGCTTAAAGCACAGCAAGTCACTGGATTTAGATATCGGGTGTTTATAATGGCTTTGTGGGAAGAACAGAAGGAAATAAATGTGGGTCCTCAGCCCACCCTCAGCAGCCAGCGACCTGCACTACATCGTTAGTCCTACATTGCGGGCTACTTGTTGGAGAAATTGCTAGGTTCACACTGGCATGTAATAAAAGATGTTCTTTGCCTGCAACAAATCAATAGCAAACAGCTGTGGATCGTGCAGACAGTGGCGTGTGAAGCTCCTTTTCAGACAGTTTTCTGCTGGAGTGCCTGTTAAGCTGCACCGTTGGCTATTGATTGGTCTTTTGCTTTTTATTTATTGTGTGGGTTTATTTATTTTTTTAATGTAGGTTGGTGTATTGATTAAATCTATTAAAAACGCATTTCCCATTCAGGCTTCAGAAAAAATTAGCAATATATGCATTACTTAGTGTACAAACAAGGCAATAGACATGTGTATGTTCATTCTCTCTCTTGGGTCCATCTAGATACACTGGCATTATGTTGTGAGTCTGTGTTGTTATTTGTACAGCAATAATTTCCAAGGATATCAGACTACAGTGTGTCCATGTTTTCAGTTATGTGTTTAATTCCTACCTCTGTTTCCAGGTTCTGCCTGTCCAGCAAATAAGCCGTATCTGAGAAGCTTAGTAT